CTATGTCCAGTATGAAGAAAACCTGCTTTACATTTATCACATTTTTGATCCTTCATTATGCTTGCACTGGTCGTAATATATAATTACGGAATAAAATTTCATAATTATTATATAAATTAAAAAGTATTTGTGAATTAAAATTTGGAAAAGTAAAAAATACTATATTCCTTATAAGTTTTTGCTAAAAAAGAAAAAAATTAGAAATATATTGCAGAGATACATAAAGTCACAAATGGTGTACATGCATACGTGTAAAATAAAAATGTACAATAAAGATATATTTTTACATACATACGTCTACGGTGTACCATACCTAGAACTAACTCGAACTTCGCGTAGGATGGGCAAAAATATGAGGTAATCTTCGACTTAGGGGACGCAAAATTATTGACTTTGTTTCTAGTTTCTTACGTGATTCGAGCTGAAAAAGAAGTTTTTAGATGATGAGTTCGCTAGTTCGAAAGTTATACGTACATAAAATACAATATTTTAGCATATTTGACAGATTGCTTTGACACCATATTGGCTTCTGCCCATCATCTGTTTAGTTCGCATAGATGAGTATTGAATCAAAGTTGGTCGAAAATTAGTTCTACCGGCGTAACCGGCCGCCGCGAGGTGGCTGAAGAGTAAAGAGACCCAAACCTAATCCAATTCAAAATCCCGCCGCAAAATGGCCGCCACCTACGTGCTAACTACTGTCTATAGCCAGTGACTCCATTCGAATCATAGCTCGAAGCTAATATAACCTGTCAAATACGCTAAATAATAATCAACATAACTTTTCGAATACGCTAAACCTGCTCGATTCTATTACGAATGCATATATATGCATACCGTTTACATTAATGGATTCAACACCTTAAAACTTGCATTTTCAAAGTTTACACATCGAAAATTACAAGATTACAAATACAGAAGTCAATAATTTTACATCTCCAAAAAGATGCTCAGAATATTAACCTAGAGAAAATCCACAAAGCAAAAAGAATGTTACGAAAAGATATCATTTATACCCCGTGACACACAAAATTTGGTGACTGGGTAAAGCATCAAAATCGGCCCCAATTCGGACATAAAAGACACTCGCGCGACGTCAAGTCGCTTATCGTTTTACTACGCACTAGACCCTCTTTTACGCCGAAGGCGCCAGCCGGCCACGTGCGCGAGTCTCGAAGAGCACAGGTTCTTTGTCCGCACAACCGACAGAAATAATCTCTGTCAACTCACCGCTCAAGGAAACCCCCACTGCACGATATGCATCCGTGAAAATCGTCAAGATGCTATGTCATAATTTTCCGCTATATCGATTTTGATATGGACGGATGGCGGACGCAGGTAGGAACTCTTTGCAGCGCTTTACTTTCTCCCGACATATTCACATTTACCGAACTGCCCTGTTTCGATCGAGAGCTCTACTCGCATTCGCACTACCAACGCGAATGGTCACACAGGCATCCACAATCGTGGTGCAGCGTGCTTGGTGATTCGCTTTCGCGGTAACTGCCAGCGTTTCAGTAACTGGCCATGGGCCTACGACACGACGCAACGGCTTCTTACAGTTGCAAACGAGGTACAGAAATAAATGTGAAATTCAATGCTATAGAAATTTCAAAGATGTGAAATTTTTCGATTTCCACGTTTTGGGAGTTACCTGATACTCCATATCATTTTCATGTCGCGTGCGACGTTATCGATTCAGTATAGTACTGGTTTGAATGAAAATTAAAGTCTTGTATGAAATTATAGATAAAAATGTATATTAATAGTTAATTTTATATAAATTTAGTAATACTGTATATTAATAGTTAAATGATTAGTTTAATTAGTTTTAAATAAAACCGTAATCTTTTAATCCTTTCTATTTCCATCTTTGTATCCTTAAATCAACTTTAATTATGTATTATCAAATATAGGTAGTCCGACTCACAACCAGAAACTTGTAACGCAATTTATCGATAACTGAGATAAACAAATTATGCCCAATAAAAAAAAGGAAAAGAGCAACGAAAGGAATAAAAAGAACAATGAAAGAAGCAAAAGATCACCAAAATCATACTTTTGTGAATAAATACGTACATCAATCAAGTACTCGATCTTTACCAACACACTAAAACTAACGCTTAAAATATACGACGGGATATTAAATTCAAAACTTGACAATAAAACTTGCACCTTTAGTGAAAAAGAGGCAGCTCAGGAGGAAGGCTCATTACAGGGACTATGTCCTATGCCTCGGGAAACGTGTTAAATATTACATAAAATAAAATAAATCAATAATTTAATTGTTATAGATTAATGGTATTGTTCTATATTAATAGTTGAATTCTTTTCAACTAACGACATCATTATTATAAATTAATAGTACAAATGTCATAAATTAATAATTGATATAAATTAATAACGCAATCAAATTAAATAATTTTCTAATTTTTAATTGTAAATCTACGACTTTGACAATTCATTACAATAATCATAATATTTCTTGCTCTCTGCAACTAAATTTCTTGTTCTCTTCTCTAAAACTAAATTTACATTTCACGTATCTGCTTCACATGAAATGTGAAGAAGAAATCGGCGAAAATTCGAAACAAAAACATCAAAAGTAAGTACAATTACACTCAACGCTTTGCCTAGTCTTGAGGTTTAAGGTCAATTCAAAATCATCTCATTACAGATCATTGAATTTTTCCTTATCAGCTCCAACGTGGAACTTAAAAGAAGTGCATTGAACTTGAAACAACTCAAGGTTACCTGGATAACTCAGAAAATATAATACATAAGAAAATCTAATTGCTACCAACCCATGAGTTCAAATGCAATACAATTCATACAAAATATTTTTTATTACAATAATTAGATAACGAGTTATTTTGGGTGATGTGTAGTTCTTATCGTTTCACTCTGTACATTTATGAATAATACTCACAGTTATTTTTAATTAGTGTAATATTCTAGTTGTCCTGGTGCATTTTTAGCAACTAATTTTGACACGAAATATTTCCAATTGTAATTTTTGGACTCAGTATTTGTTCGGAATTTTAGAGGCCCCGGCGGCTTTAAAACCGATAGTAAACAACGGAGAAATGCCATAGCTGCGGAACCATACCGTCTTACTAGCATGCCAGGAAAGGAAATTTGCGTGACAAGGAAAAAAGAAAGGAGTCATCTTCGACGATAACTATCCGACGAGTGCAAATATTTCGTGCCCGATTCCAATATACGTCGCTTAAATATTTCTCTGCAAATCACATCAGCTATCGCATGTGCTAAGTTCATAGCGGATAAAAATAGCGATTTTCGAATGTTATTCCAACGGCAGACTTTATGTTTCAACAGCGTTTACCTTCTAAGAGAAGCATTTGAAAATGAGGAAAAGAAAAGATATATTTGCGTCATTTCACGTCGCTCGAATTCTGGAAAGATATAACTGCGGAAACTGCTGTAAAAATATTCAGGATGTTTACCACAATCTACCAGCTCTTGGTGCAATAAAAAAATGGTTTGCGCAATTCAAACGTGCGCACTTCCAACTGAACGAACAGCTACGCTTGGTCAACCTTCTTTAATAGACGATGATATTGTGCTCAATTAATTGTAAAATAATCTCCGAATTTCAATTGAAGAAGAAGTAGAGAAAATTTTGTTTGTATGAAGAGCTGCTGCACGGTCTAGATAAACATCGCGAATATTTTTTCCGGTAATTCCCAACGTTACAAGTTTCCAGCAAGACGCAAATGAATATTTTCCTCGGTCATTATCTTCAAAATCCTTCTTATCTATATCAAATTCTTTTTTACAATGCATAAGTTGTCAAAACACAAAAGTTTTTAGTTGAAATAACAATTGAATATCGCTACTTTTAACCGCTATGCAGTCTGCGTATGCGACAACAGATACGACATGCAGAAAAATAATTTAATGCATCAGTTAGAGTCGAGCACAAACTTTTGCAATAACCCAATATTTATCAAGCAATATTTAGATAAAGAACCAAACTCTTTTCGCAATTGTTGCAATCTGAAACACGTCAAAATATGTTGTTAGCATCTCTGTATATCTTAGATAAGACACATACCATGTCCTTATATTCATGAAATTTCCGATGATACACAATAGTTGCTCAGAATTCAGTATTTAAGCAATCGTCAGTACAAAAGCGCTCGTCGCCTTGATCTACATCGTATTGGGTCCACTCTTTTACGTTCGGTGTTGAATTCATGTATGTATATTCCAAGTTTCTGTATTTTTGTCTAGTACTTGATTTTTTGGTTATTTATAATCTTCTGAATTCTGAGACATAATATCCACATGTTCATTGTAAGTTTTTGGTATCTTAAGATGTTATCAGCCATTTGTGTCTGTGTCACCACTATTTTACATAGCTTTTCATTTTTCTATCAATTGTATAAATAAAAATAATACGGTTAGTCAGACAAGGGAACATCTTAACTATTTCACTGACACTGAGATATTTCATTAAAATCAACATTCTGAACGACTTTCTTTTCAACCCGCCGCTCGGCTTTACTTTCCGAGTTGTAGAACAATTTATGTTTACCACTAAATGTATTATTTAATAATGTATTTTACGAATTTTCGTACAGTAAACAAATTTTCAGTAGCGGTAGATACATTGCTTATATTTTTGACCAATCGAAGACGAGAATATAGCACAACATTGCATATCTCAGTCAATTCATCGAATATTACTTCACGCTAGCGTGGCAACAGAATGCCTCAATATCATCAAAATTGGTGAGATTTTATGATAATAAAAAAATAATTACCAAACAAAAATTCTCCCTACGACAACCCACTAGACCAAAGTAATTTAACAAGGTAAGAACCAAATCCCCTTAGCATCCAAAAGGACAAATGATGGTAATATGCATTCAGAAATAATTCTCTGCCACCTCGTGTTATTTTGCAAAAAGATGGTTCGTAAGGTATGAAAACTTAATATTATAGATTGATAAAGGATTTCGGAGAAATACAAAATGGATGTTGAACGGATTATTTTCGGAGGAGTAAGATCAGACCCGATCATATCGGTGCTTTCGATGCTCTTAAGTCTGTCGCTATATGTCATATATTCGAATGTTTCTTACTCTTCAACGAATGTTCCTTCCAAATTACTATTGCCATCTTACGATTTCATAGTCGTGGGCGGTGGTTCTGCAGGTATGTCTTTTCATATTGTCCACACGAATTTTGGTCTTAAATGTGATAAAAATGTGATAAAGATAAACGTACTCGTTTGTTTACGTATGAGAAAGAGCATATTATTTCTTGTACAATCAACTGACACGAGAATTTAACAACTTACATATTTTGATATTTTACGCAAATTTCAGATAACGTATAGTATCATGTATATATAGTATATTAATGACGCTATGCATCGTTTGTATGTATTAACGATTAGATTTTAACTTTTTGTTTTCTTCATATAAACGTATTTTAGGTTTGTTTTGTAAACTATTTTGAATTTATCACCAATTTCATTTCATAATTTGGACAAATTGTCTCTTTCTCGGTGTTTTGAAACGATACTACATAGTTTTTTAATTTACAGATATTTGTAATCTTTAATTAGATTCAATTATTTTGAGTATGCTCAATTTATAATGCTCTGTCAATTTACACGATTACAGGAGCCGTTATAGCGAATCGCTTGTCCGAAATAGAAGATTGGGACATACTCCTCCTGGAAGCAGGTGGCGACGGAAGTGCTATATATGATATTCCTTCTTTAGCCGACAGTGTGCAGCTCTCCGAAATCGATTGGAAATACAGGGTGGAACCTAGTGAAAATTTCTGTCGAGGTAAATAATACCTAATAATACCTAACTATAATAATTATAAGTTAAATAGTTACAAAATAATTAATCAATTAAATAATTACAAAAGAAACACTGCAATCACCCTTTAAGCGTCCAGGTCAAACGTTTTATTTTTAACGATGTAGAAAGTAAATTAAAAAAAGGAAAGATAAAATCATGTCACGCTTGGAAGGAATTATAAAATGCAATCTATGGCAACGCGAATAAATAAGTAAAGCATTCCAGAACATTGGTACATCACCATCTTTTAATTCTAAAATTACCTAAAGATGACAAAATGATTAAGAGAATGAATAAGAGATTCTCCTTTTTACAGTTATTAGAAACATACAAATATTTTGGCCAAAATAACATAATTTCCATTTTGATGGAATATGATTGTGTAGATTTATTTATTTTAGTAATATTGCGTGGATTGCACTGATTTATACATATAGAACATCTAGGAACATTTAGGCGGTTCCTTCTTAAGATAAAAACGTATTGTCGAAAAATGTATTGTCGAATCTAAACAGATATAAATGAGAATCAATAACCAACCTAGATCAATGTACCGCTACAAATTATTCGTAATGCGTTCGGTGTACTTTACGGTAAATTATACCCACAGCGATGGAAGACGGTCGTTGCCTTTGGCCACGTGGTAAAGTGCTCGGAGGCACCAGCATGGTAAACACTATGCTATACGTTCGTGGTGCCAAAAAAGACTACGACATCTGGGAACAACAAGGCAATCCAGGATGGTCTTACGAGGATGTCCTGCCTTATTTTCTAAAATCCGAAGACAATCGAAATCGCTTCCACACAAACACACAGTATCACTCGACCGGTGGCTACCTTACCGTCGAAGAACCTCCATTTCATACTCCCCTGGCCGCTGCGTTCATTCAAGCAGGCCAAGAAATGGGTTACGAAAATAGAGACATTAACGGAGAACGACACACTGGGTTCATGAACCCTCAGGCTACCGTCAGACATGGAAGCCGATGCTCCACGGCAAAGGCCTTCCTGCGGCCAGCCAGGTCACGCAAGAATTTACAAGTCACTATGAATGCACATGTTACCAAAATTTTAATAGAACCGTCGTCGAAGAAGGCTCATGGCGTAGAATTCGTTAAAGATGGAGAGACATTACGCGTTCGTGCCAACAAGGAGGTGATTGTTTCCGGAGGAGCTATCAATAGTCCCCAGTTGTTGATGTTGTCGGGAATAGGACCTAAAGAACACTTAACGGAACACAATATACCAGTGATTCAGGATTTAAGAGTGGGCCATAATCTTCAAGACCATATAAGTGCGGGGGGCCTTACGTTCTTGGTGAATGAAGAAATTGCACTCGTACAGAGTAGGTTGTATAATATTAGCAACGTACTAGAATACGTCATATTCGGAGAGGGTCCTTGGACCAACTTAGGAAATATCGAAGGAATAGCTTTTATCAATACTAAATATGCGAATGCTTCCGACGATTTCCCAGACATACAACTGCATTATTATTCATCGGGACAGAACAACGACATAATTAGAGAGATACGTGGATTGACCAGAGAATTCTACGACGCCGTGTATGGAGAGCTTCAGGATAAGGACGTGTGGAGCGCGTATCCTACGCTTTTAAGACCGAAAAGCAGAGGTGTTATCAAACTTCGAAGCAACAATCCTTTCGATTATCCATTGATTTATCCGAATTATTTCAAGGAGCCAGAAGACATGGCTACATTGGTCGAAGGAGTTAAGTTTGTGCTCGAGATGAGTAAAACTGCTTCTTTCAAACGTTACGGGAGCGAAATGAATCCGAAACCATTCCCAGGCTGCAAGCATGTTCCTATGTATAGCGATCCTTACTGGGAATGCATGATCAGATTTTATCCCGCGACTATATTTCATCCCGTGGGTACTTGCAAGATGGGGCCTAAGTCGGATTCAAAAGCCGTGGTAGATCCTTGGCTTCAAGTTTACGGAGTTACTGGACTTCGAGTCATAGATAGTTCGATTATGCCAAATTTAATCAGTGGCAATACCAATGCGCCGACTATTATGATCGCAGAGAAGGGTTCTGATATGGTAAAACAGAAGTGGTTGAAGGAACGGGATGTAGGTAAACAGTTGTAAATTCATTTAAGATAGATGATAGTTCTGTATTATTGTTACATAATAGAAAGTTATTGTTTTTAACTGAAAAAGATTTTTATTATGCATCTCGTACGGCGAACCACAAGTCAGAATATGGTCATATTGTGTAACCTTGTGTTAAATGATGCTCGATTGTAATCATATGAAGAAGCCTCGTTGGAATAGATTATTAATGTAGCTCGCTAAATATCGCCACGTTTACAATAAAAAACAAATAAAGCAGCCAATCGGTTAGTCCATTCATACTGCGTCGATTATTCTAATAATTTTTAGCTTGAGATTCTAATTTTTTGAAACAAGAAAAAATTATTTGCTGCTTCATGCCAATTGCGATTGAACTTCACTTATGGTAGCTTCGTTTGGTCGTTCGATTATATTTCATCCGCTCCGCTCTCGACGTTACCAATGTGGATGTTTAGAAATGTAGCAACTTTGAATGAATACCCTTCATTTAGCCGTGATGGTATTTCTGTCGAGAAGTAATCAACGACCACTTAGGTGACCAATCTGACAATTTGAGGCTAATCTTACTGGTAAGCGTTCTTTGGAGCTTGCAACCCGGCGTATTTTCTTAATAAGGTCTCTCTTCCGAATAACATTCAAAACCAACCTTTACCTATTTTGTTTCGATACAGTTCTAACCTCTGAACGTCCAGTCACATGTTAATTGTCGTCTTTTATATCTGTAGATGTCCTCTGCTTTTGAATCCACGGGTAACATTAGGAGATTGCAGGATTCAACATTGAGCCCCTGTCTAACATACAACATCCTTTACTATAATCAGGAAAAAAATTCCTACCCAGGTATTAGGCGCCTTGAGCGTCTACATGAACATAAGAAGAAAATCTTGTCTTTGTGGTGTACAGACGCTGTGGTAGCGTCCGTGTATTCCCTTGTCTTAGATGGACACAGAAAGAAATATAAACTACTTATTCTACAAAATCTAGCAAAGGACTGTGAATTTTCTGCTCATTCTGCAGTTTCTATAGTTATATATAAAACAACTTTCCTTCCTAATGAAGCTAATTTAATCGCCTGTTTTAATGAATAAGCACACGAGTATACGGATAATGAATATATAAGTAATTGACTAACCTTGCTTCTTACTATTTGACGATTTCATAATTTCTGAAACATTCGCAAATAACTATCGATAACATAACAGTTCATTTTAATTATAATTATGCTTCCGTAGGAGCGTACGCGATAGTATTGCTTACCGTATCCCTGGCAGCGGACGGGTATAGTGAGTCACCGAAACCAAGCTCTCATCTCTTGTTTATAACAGATTCCAATGTAAACCCCTGCTATTTTATAAGCTATCCTGAACTTAATTACTCCGATTTATTATTATTTATAGTATATGCGAAATATACTTTTGTGTTCAACTTAAAAACAGATTCATTGAAAATTATTTCAGGTGGTTAATACCGGTCTCATATTACGTTAGTTCAGTCCTTATCTAATTCATATTCATTTTTACCTTTGCGTTATCAAAATTCGCTATCTCTCTCGTCAATGGGTTACTAATTGATTTAAGTTGAATTACGTCGAAACTCCATATTGAGGTGAAATAATAAAATACTTTGATCACTAATCGAATTCCCACGTTTACTATTTTTATTCCTGTATTCATGTATGACTAAAAGTGTTTTTGCTAAGTGAACTACTGAAAATTGTACTGCTGATACAATGAAATAATCCTATGTCCAAAAAGATATTTTTGCAAAATTATGTTAAGTTGTTCAAACCCGGAGAAAAATTTCTGATATGTTGATTACGTAATCATGTCATTTTTCATGTGTCAATAATTACTAAGAGTTCACTACATAACGATCTCTAACCAGAAGCATTCGTCGTTTTGAATTACAGGTCACTGAATTACGGATCACTTTCTTACGCTTGGTGTTTCATCCACGTATGTATTGCATAAATTTCTGTATATTTGCTAATATTTTACCATCTCATTACCTCTGATCTGTCTTTTAAGAAATAGTATCTACATCTGTACTGTAAATTTATTGCCATCTTATTCTTTTCTCAGCCATGCATGCCAGTTTCACCATAATTTCAATTAGCTTCTTATTCTCTTGTCATCTGCATGCACAAAAAAGATGTGATTATTGAGAGAGAGGTAAACTCCAAAGAAATCGATGACATCGAAATACTTCGTCAAACTCACCATTTTGAACAACTTTCTCCCATATTTATAACAACCGCTCAACCTTGGCTTGCAAGGAACAAAGCAATTTATGTTTAATACCATATGTGCTGTTTAACAATTTTGTAATTTTTTGCTTAGAAAACGATTTTCTTGTGACGAGAACTATATTTATAACATTTTTACGCATTGAAAATCAAATAAAGCGCAACGGTCGATATAGCGATCTACTCTTCAAAGATTATCTTATGATACCTTTTATTAGTCTAGCACAATCTACAAACCGTAGCTTTTTCTATTTTACTTGCACGATATCGAAAATAGTTGCTATTTCATCACCTCATAGATTTAAATGAAATATTTTGCGAATATCGTGAAATATAAGACTGTGCAACATCGTAGCGATTGCAGGTATAGGAAAACGTTGTTCAGAATGTTAACCTTGACAACATGTTTCACTGGCAATTAAAATCTTTGTGATACACTCATTAAAAAAAGAAATATTAGTTTCGCCAGATCCTATTCGGGAAAAGTAACTTTAAGAATGAAAGAACCAAAGCCCCTTAGGGCCCGAAAGAACAAATAATGGTAATATGCATTCAGTAATAATTCTCTGTCATTTCATCTTATATTGCGAATAAGATGTTTGGTAAGGTATCAAACCTTAATGTTACAGATTGATAAAGGATATCGGAGGAGAGTAAAATGGATGTCAAACGCATCATTCTCGAAGGGATGAAATCGCATTCGGTGCTATCGATACTCTTAGGCATGTCGCTGTATGTCATCTATTCGATTGTTCCATACTCTTCATCCAATATTCCTACCAAATCATTACTGCCGACTTACGATTTCATAATCGTAGGCGGTGGTTCAGCAGGTATGTCTTATCACGATGCCGATACAAAGTTCCGTTAAAAATCTGATAAAAGTGTAACTAAAACAGCCGCAGCTGCGTATGTGCGTGCAAGGAAGAAAGCATTGTTACTTGTATGATAGCGTAACACCAAAAATGTTACGTACTTCCCATATATCGATTTTTTCCAAATTTCATTTTCCGACTCTATCTATTTATCGTAGGTATTAGTGATCATATACGCTATTTATATACATTAATGAAGAAATTTGAATATCTTATTCCATTCATATAAGTATGCTATGAGATCATTATGCAAACATATTGTGAATTTACCGCGAAGTATTATTTCTAATTTCGACAATTTTACTCCCAATCTCGATGTGTTGATGTAAAACTACAAATTCCTGATTTGAAAATATTTGTAACGTTTAAGAAAAAACTTTCTTAGTCATGTTTTATTAAAATACTCTGTGAATTTACACCATTACAGGAACCGTTATGGCGAATCGCTTGTCCGAGGTGGAAGATTGGGACGTACTCCTGCTGGAAGCAGGTGCCGATGGAAGTGCTATGTATGATGTTCCTACTCTTGTCGCCAATTTGCAACGATCTAAAATCGATTGGAATTACACGACGGAACCGAATGAAAATTACTGTCTCGGTAAATAATATTGAATAATACCTAATTATAATAATGATAGGTACTTAATTACAATAATAATACCAGACACTCTAATCATTCATGTCCAACGCACTATTTTTTCCATTGAAAAAAAAGGAATTTGAGAAAAGACAGATAAAATATTATCATGCTTAGAAGAGAATATAAAGTAGTACCTATGGCAATGAGAATAAATGAAGCGAGTAAATATTAAGTAAAGCATTCTAAAATCTGTGTGCATCATAATCTTGCAATTGTAATAAATACTAGCACTAAAAAGACGTGAAAATATCAGACCAGAATTATGTTTCTAATACAATAAACAGATATTTCAGGCGCAATTAATACTGAACAAAGTTTACATTAATATATAATTATATAGATCTATTTATTTTAAGTAATGACACTTGATTTGTATATAGAACTTTATACTTTATTTATATATACCGATTTATACATAAAACAGTCAGATATATTTGCACAGTTTTAGTGTTAACATAAATCGAAAAATGAATCCATCGTCCATTCCAAAGAGAAGTTAACGTGAATCAGTGACCTTCTATAATCAATATTTGATTACGAACTACTCGCAATGCTTTCAAAGTTCTTTACTGTACATTATGTGAACAGCGATGGAAGGCGGTCAGTGCCGCTGGCCACGTGGCAAAGTACTCGGAGGCAGCAGTTCGCCAATTTGCAACGATCTAAAATCGATTGGAATTACACGACGGAACCGAATGAAAATTACTGTCTCGGTAAATAATATTGAATAATAGGTAAATAACATTGAATAATACCTAACTATAATAATGATAGGTACTTAATTACAATAATAATACCAGACACTCTAATCATTCATGTCCAACGCACTATTTTTTCCATTGAAAAAAAAAGGAATTTGAGAAAAGACAGATAAAATATTATCATGCTTAGAAGAGAATATAAAGTAGTACCTATGGCAATGAGAATAAATGAAGCGAGTAAATATTAAGTAAAGCATTCTAAAATCTGTGTGCATCATAATCTTGCAATTGTAATAAATACTAGCACTAAAAAGACGTGAAAATATCAGACCAGAATTATGTTTCTAATACAATAAACAGATATTTCAGGCGCAATTAATACTGAACAAAGTTTACATTAATATATAATTATATAGATCTATTTATTTTAAGTAATGGCACTTGATTTGTATATAGAACTTTATACTTTATTTATATATACCTATTTATACATAGAACAGTCAGATATATTTACACAGTTCTAGTGTTAACATAAATCGAAAAATGAATCTATCGTCCATTCCAAAGAGAAGTTAATGTGAATCAGTGACCTTCTAAAATCAATATTTGATTACGAATTACTCGCGATGCTTTCAAAGTTCTTTACTGTAAATTATGTCAACAGCGATGGAAGGCGGTCAGTGCCGCTGGCCACGTGGCAAAGTACTCGGGGGCAGCAGTGGCATAAATTACATGCTTTACGTCCGCGGTGCCAAAAAAGATTACGACATCTGGGAACAGCAAGGCAATCCAGGATGGTCGTATCAGAATGTGCTGCCTTATTTCTTAAAATCTGAAGACAATCGAAATCACAGCTACGCCAAAACACCGTATCATTCAACCGGCGGGTACTTAACCGTCGAAGAACCACGATGGCACACTCCTCTGGCCGCTGCGTTCATTCAAGCCGGCAAAGAAATGGGTTACGAGAATCGAGATATTAACGGAGAACGGCATACTGGCTTTATGATTCCTCAAGGCACCATCAGAGATGGTAGCCGCTGCTCCACGGCGAAAGCCTTCTTGCGGCCAGCCAGGATGCGGAAAAATTTACACGTCGCCATGGAAGCGTATGTTACCAAAATTTTAATAGATCCGTCAACGAAAAGGGCTTACGGCGTAGAGTTCATTAGAGACGGGGAAACGTTGCGCGTACATGCCAACAAAGAAGTGATCGTTTCCGGTGGAGCTATTAATAGCCCCCAGTTGTTGATGCTGTCAGGAATAGGACCTAGAGAACACTTATCGGAACACGGTATACCAGTGATTCAGGATTTAAGAGTGGGCCACAATCTTCAAGACCATATAAGTGCGGGGGTATTATGTTCTTAGTGAATGAAGAAGTTTCAATCGTACAGAGCAGACTGATTAATATTAACTATGCCCTAGAGTACGCTATATCCGGAGACGGTCCTTTGACAACCTTAGGATTTAATGAAGCACTAGGTTTTATTAATACCAAATATGCGAATGCCTCCGACGATTTTCCAGACATACAAATACATATGTGGTCAACGGGGGACTACTCCGAGAGCACTAGAAAGATTTTTGGATTGACGAGAGAATTCTATGATGCCGTATATAGAGATGTTCACAATAAGGACGGGTGGAGTGTGTATCCTACCCTTTTAAGACCTAAAAGTAGAGGAATTATCAAGCTTCGGAGCAACAATCCTTTCGATCACCCATTGATTTATCCAAATTATTTCAAGGAGCCAGAAGACATGGCCACATTGATCGAAGGAGTTAAATTTGTACTCGAGATGAGTAAAACTGTTTCGCTTAGACGTTACGGCAGCAAACTGAATCCGAATCCATTTCCTGACTGCAAGCATATCCCATTGTATAGCGACCCGTACTGGGAGTGCATGATCAGATCTTTCCCCTTAACTATATCACACCCTGTGGGTACTTGTAAGATGGGGCCAAAGTCGGACCCAAAAGCGGTGGTTGATCCTTGGCTTCGAATTTATGGAATTACTGGACTTCGAGTTATAGACAGTTCAATTATGCCAAATTTGATCAGTGGCAATGCCAATGCGCCGACTATCATGATCGCAGAGAAGGGTTCCGATATGGTCAAAGAGAAATGGTTGATGGAATTAGACGTATATCAATAGTTGCTTTTGTAAATTAATTTTATGCACCTACTTGTACTATTACGTGCACTTATTGTTGAAGTGGTTACTACTTCTAAGAAAACTCTACATCTGGTCTTTTTAGTTTGTTCAAGCACTGAAGCCATTGACAGCGCGTAGACAAAAGAATGCGACGAAGTCAAGCCATAAACAGTAGACAGGCGACTTTGGCTTCGGGGTTTTTCAGTTATTGGGTAACACAGCTAGCGTGCGGATCTGGACCAGCTCAAATTGTATTCTTACTTATGACACTTCTATTTAAATATATTTTCTGCCTTGCAATTTATTCACGTGTTTTCTCTGTTTACACATCCAATAACCTCAACACTTATTACATAAGCGAAATTATTTTAAGTAAAATTTGGTGGGAATGATACTTCGGTATTTTGAAATGATTCCAGAGAAAATGTGACTTAGTAGATTGTTAAATTAGTTCTCACTTACCGATACGAGTTGTTCTAATCCCAATCGACGCATCGTAAACCGATCCGAGTCCTCAGGAAGTCGATGAGGATCTGGGCTGCGTCCCCTTGCTGCCGCTTCAAGGTTATCCATCTCCTCCCAGAGCATCTATTAGTAAGGCGTTGGTTTTGGAGAAACGTCATCCGATTTGAGCGAAGAAAGCAACGCCTACATTTGCGTCAACATACAAAAATGAGTGTGATGAGTCTTATGTGGGATTTTACTGCGAACTATTATCTTGCGATATATTGTCTCGCAGAGTATTGTCTTGAGAAATATTGCATTGACAAGTATCGGTGGTGAAACTGTAGAACCATTGCGTTCACACGGATTTCGATGATTTTTTAATATCTTGTTATTTTATGATCCTGAACAACTTTAGCAAAAATCTACAGACACCACTACATTGAGTTCTGCCTATAATTATACGCCCGTAAAATCATACGCGTTGGTATTTGTTGTTAACAGCTGGACAGAATTACCTGACCTGGAAACTTAACACTTATCTTCTGTTTATTTATACAATCGAGGGTTGGACGAACTTGGATAAAGATCCATTCAGAACTGTATATGCGGCACTATGAGACAAGTCTGCTATAATTGAATTGAAAGTCAATAACATCAAAGAGCTCGGTTTGAGTTTGGGGTAGGCTTTACAATCTGGTCGTCGTGAAGCTGGCTGGCAGTATTTCGATGGAGCAATAAGAATTTTCCCATTTTTTTAAATAATATCAATTATTCATGCCCTTATTAATTTGATAATTAATTTGTACTTACCTGCACAAGCATTGCTTTTTTAGAAGCGTCCTGCAGTCGAAATTCGGAGATTACATTGCAATAAATTGAGCACAATGTCATCGTCTACCAGAGAAAGTCGGCCAGAGTGTGACTGGTCCTGCAGTTTAAAATCACTACGTCTGAATTTTGCAAACTATCTTTTTATGGTGCGGAAAGCTGCCGTACAGTCGTGGTAAACATCGTGAATATTTTTGCAACATTTTGCACCGTTACATCTTCCCAGAATTCCAGCAACATGAAATAACGCGCAGATAAACCTGTTGCTCGCTTATTATCAAAATCTTTTATTGCGTTGTAAAAGCTGGCAAAACAAGAATGTATCAAAACACAAATTTCCGTTGTTGAAATAACAATTGAATATCACCATCTTTATCTCAACGATATATGACACTTGTAAAAAAAATATTTATCTTTTAGAATCAGGCACGACTTTTTTGCTGATCCAATATCCACAATTTGGACAAACCATCTAAATTTTCCCGCAACAGTCGAGATCTGAAATATATCCATGATCTACATAAATTAATCGCATCTTTGTTTACCTTAGATAAGAGACGCACATATGTATGTAATTCTGACCTGATACAATAGTGACACAGAACATAGTATTTAAGCACCCACCAAGCGTTCGTCACCACTGTTCACGTCGCATCGAAGCACGCTCTTAGGTATGGTAAACATAATCACCCATATATGAAATCGTTCTTTAAATTCAGTATTTTCGCTAATACCTGGCTACTACATTATTTCTGATCTTTTATATTTTACCACATAATATCCACATCTATGCTATAAGTTTACTGATACCACATAGATTTCTCTTCTGTATTTGTAAAGTGTTAAAAATAGTTAGCTTCCTCATCAGTGAGCTAAGTTTAGGTTGAGCTGTATAAAAATGAGATTGTGTACAGCAAGATGAAGAGTAATCATAGCGTGAATTTCATTGAATTATTTTACGAATATCTATTTGGAAACAAAAGTCGAATATCACCGGGCCGGTATATGAAAAAATTGTCCAAAACGTTAACTTTGGCAATATGTATTAAGGTCATCGAAATTAATGAGCTGTACTGTTCTTAGAATAACTAGCAAACAAGATATTTGTTTCTACAAACTCTGCTACAAACCATTGGAGTATAATAGATTGAAGTATGTAAGAAGCAAATACCGATCGTGTCTGAAGAGATAAATAAGGATAATACGTGTTTATTAATAATTCCCTGTAACTTAATATCATAGATTGACAGCGGAAATATAAGTACAAAATGGATGTCAAACGCATCATTTTCGGAGGGATGAAGTCACAACCGATCACATCGATCATTTCGATGCTCGTAAGCATGTCGCTATACGTCATCTATTCGATCGTTCCTTACTCTTCGACGAATCTTCCTTCCAAATCGCTATTGCCAGCTTACGATTTCATAGTCGTGGGCGGTGGTTCTGCAGGTATGGTTTTTCATATTATCCACGTGAAGTTCCGTCCTAAACTGATAAAAATGTGTCAAAGATAACTGCATCTGTGTGTTTACGTGCGAAGAAGGTCGCGTTATTGCTCCTAATATGATGGATAGATGCAAAAAATTTAACAATTCACATATCCCGATTTTTTGCCAAATTTCTTTTGACGACTCTGACAATCCACTGGATATATTAGCAATATTGTACGTTATTTTAATATCTAATTTCCTTCGTCTAAATATATTTTCCGCTTACTTTGTAAACGTACGTTTGCATTATCGCGAATTTCGATTCGTAATTTCGACAAATTATCTCCTTTCCATAATGTTTTGAAATTAGGCTACGGACATTCGATTCAAAGATATCTGGGACGTTAAACTGGATTTAGATTTTATAGATATGTTTTCTTCAAAATGCTCTGTAACTTTACACGATGACAGGAGCCGTGGTGGCAAGTCGCTTGTCCGAAATGGAAGAATGGAACGTACTCCTGCTGGAAGCAGGTGGAGATGGAAGTGCTGTCTATGATATTCCTTCTCTTGCCGACAATCTGCAGCTCACCAAAATCGATTGGGAATACACGACGGAACCCAATGAAAATTACTGTCGAGGTAAAAAGTGTCGAATTATTCTGACTTATAAATAAAAACAGTAAATAGTTGATTACAGAAACAATACTGCATCCCCTAATCATCCACGTCTAACGCTCTATTTTTTACGTTGAAAAGAATGGGAAGTAGATAAAATTATATAACGCTTGGAAAGGGTTAGGGAAGCGCTTATAAAATGCAATCTATAGCAATGAGAATAAACGAAGCATGTAAATAGGTAAATCTTTCTATAACATTGGCAAATAATCACAATTCATTTCTAACGTAAACTGTCACTAAACATAGCAGAGAAGTTAAAATAACAGATTTGAAATTTTGTATTCTACAATTACTAAAAACATACAGGTATTATTGCTATTAATGTTTTATCTCGTAATAGAGAGAGAGAGAGAGAAAGAGAAAGAAAAAGAGAGAGAGAGAGGAAATGGGTGGATGAATGGATAATAGAATATTTATATAAACAAGATTAAGTGTAAATACAATGTGTATGCTAATCCAGATACGCACGCTAGTAGCGTCACTTTACGAAAGAGCTTCGAACCCATGCGTCTATGGGTATTTATACAATTACGAAAAACTGGCTTGTCTGTACCCCGCCGCACGCATCAAAAGCATGATCCTAGTAAGGCTATGAGGCTGAGAGGCCCGTCAAATTTATTAAGTGTTAAACAATACTCAATGGCTTTGAAGACTAAGAAAGCTAAACACTAGAGATGATGTGCAATTTTCCTTCAAGTGGAAACCACTTCAACAATTGCCAAAATTAATATTGCTTTTTATTAATTTATAAATATGCAGGCTTATTAATTTCAAGAAACACTACTTGAATTATATTGATTTGTATTTAGAACCAATAGATAGATTTAGGCATACTTGATGTCAAACCTAAATCGAAGAATGAATCTATCGCCGAACCCAAAGACATATAAACATGAATTAATAACCAAACGACAACAATATTCGTTCATGAATTATTTGCAACACTTTTGATATACTTTAACGTAAATTATACCCACAGCGATGGAGAATGGTCGTTGCCGCTGGCCACGTGGCAAATTACTGGGAGGTAGCAGCGGAATAAACTCCATGCTTTACGTCCGTGGTGCCAAAAAAGACTACGACATCTGGGAACAGCAAGGCAATCCAGGATGGTCGTATCAGGATGTGCTGCCTTATTTCCTAAAATCTGAAGACAATCGAAATCACAGCTACGCCAAAACACCGTATCATTCAACCGGCGGGTACTTAACCGTCGAAGAACCACGATGGCACACTCCTCTGGCCGCTGCGTTCATTCAAGCCGGCAAAGAAATGGGTTACGAGAATCGAGATATTAACGGAGAACGGCATACTGGCTTCATGATTCCTCAAGGCACCATCAGAGATGGTAGTCGCTGTTCCACGGCGAAAGCCTTCTTGCGGCCAGCCAGGATGCGGAAAAATTTACACGTCGCCATGGAAGCGTATGTTACCAAAATTTTAATAGATCCGTCAACGAAAAGGGCTTACGGCGTAGAGTTCATTAGAGACGGGGAAACGTTGCGCGTACATGCCAACAAAGAAGTGATCGTTTCCGGTGGAGCTATTAATAGCCCCCAGTTGTTGATGCTGTCAGGAATAGGACCTAGAGAACACTTATCGGAACACGGTATACCAGTGATTCAGGATTTAAGAGTGGGCCACAATCTTCAAGATCAT